TCACCAGAGCAGAGCCCAAGAAGACCGTAGAGGAAAATCCCTGTCAGAACCTGTGATCAAAAGTGCAGCCTGTTGCCTTCCTCAGATGGACTACTGGGGGTCCTGTGGCCTAAAGTTTTCCCCCTTCCCTCTCTCCCCCCCACTTTCTCACCCTCCCTCCCTCCTCCCTCCTTCTCTCCTCTCCCTCTCCTTCTCCCTCTGTGCCTCTCTCCTCTCTCTCTCCCTTTCTCTCTTTCATTCTCTTCTACTCTCTCCATCTCTCGCTCCCTCTCTTCCTCTTTCTTTCTTTTTCTTCCTCTCTCCCTCCCTTCCCCACTCTTATACCCTTCTTCCTCTTTCCTCTTTCCCTCTCCTATCTCTCTCTGTCTCTCACTTTCTCTCTCTCCCTCACCTTCTCTTTGTTTCTCTCCTCTCTTTTTCTTTCTCTCCCTTCTCCCCCCCGCCCCGTCTCTCTCTCTCCCTTCTTTCTTTCTGTCCTTCCCTCCCTCTCTCTCTTTCTTTCTCTCCCTCTCCCTTTCTTTCTCCCTCGTGAGCCTCTCTCTCTCTCATTCCCTCTGTCTCTCCCTACTTCTCTCTTTCTTTCCCCCTCCCTCTCTTTCCCCCTCTCTCTTCCTCCTCTCTTGTCTTGTCTTTCTCTCCTCTCTCTCTCCCCATCTCCTTCTCTCTCTCTTTCTCTCTGTCTCTCCCTGCCCCCTCTCTCCCCCCTCCCTTCCCCCATCTCTGGATCTGGTCCCTAACTGCCCCTCCTTTGTCCCTGACCTGTCCCCTGACTCTCTTTCTCCCCCACCCACAGATCCCCAGGTACATCCTGACCCTGCATGAGCTTCTGGCCCACACGCCCCATGAGCACGTCGAACGCAACAGCCTGGACTATGCCAAGTCCAAGCTGGAGGAGCTGTCCAGGTGAGCCCGGGCTGGTGGGTGGGGCGGGGCTGGGGATGCCCCCACCAAGAGTTCTCCGACCCCCTAGCTAGTGTTCTGGAGTGCCCCACCTGAAAGCTTGGTCCTGGAGCAGCCCTGAGAGGTCACGGCTCAAGCCCAGGTGGCACTGGGTGGGAGTGGCCTGGTGGTGTGCTGTCCCAGCACGGCTGGGGCCTCAGGAAGGGCCCTGGGTGGCTTTAATTGTAGACATTCAGATATCGGCAGCTTTGCTTGAAATGAGTGGGTACTTTCTCCAGAGCCCCCCACCCCCAGCCCCACCAGATGCCAAATCCCTCACTACCTGCCTTGGAAACCCACCAGGGCAACATTGACAGCTCACACCCACCTTTTCCCACCAATGCGGTTTTTAAAAAGCAGTTCCATGGCGCCACCTCTTGGAGTGGAGGGGTGTTGCAGCAGCCAGAACAGGGACAAGTAGGAAAGTTTGTTCTCATTCCGTCCCAGAAGGGCCAGAGCCTATGGCGTCCCCTGAGCCAGATGGAGTGCTAGGTGCTCCAAAACATAAGCCATTCCAGGGCCTGAGCAACATTGAGGAAACAGTCTTAAAGATTTGGACAAAGAGTATTCAGGAGAAAGAGACAGCAAGTGCAAAGGCCCTGGGGCAGGAACGAGCTTTGCTTGTTCTATGGAGAGGGATAAGGCCAATATAGGAGGAGGACTGGGGTAATGAGCAAAGGCTGTCTCCTGGACTGTATCCATACCTCTCTCCAACCCTCCCATCCCCTAGTATTGGGCTGCACCTACTGTCTCTGTTTTACATGGTTCAGCTTTTGAAATCTGACCAACTTGCTTTCTAGTTACTAACTTCCATTTTCTTTTTTCTGAAATAAGAACACTTCCTTCCTTGGGCAGTCAGAAGGATAAAATGAAGTCTCACCTGGGAAGTGTCCTGCACACAGCAGGTGCTCAGTAGATGCACACCCCTTCTCCCTCATGACTACAGCCCCCACCCAACTGAGAATCCTGGGTGCCAGGCTCTCCTCTTAGACCTGGCCGGAACCCGGCATCCCCACCTCCTAGGGAGGCTATGGCAGCCTGTCTCTGACCATGTTCCTTCCCGTCCCCACAGGATAATGCATGACGAAGTGAGTGAGACGGAAAACATCCGCAAGAACCTGGCCATTGAGCGCATGATCATCGAGGGCTGTGAGATCCTGTTGGACACCAGCCAGACCTTCGTGAGACAAGGTGTGGCCTCTGCCCCCTGCCATCTACCCCCCACCCCCACCCCGCCAGGTGAGCCCCAGCCACGGGAGGGGGGCAGCACCAGTTGGCTCGACTGCCGCGTGCCAAGACCTGCCTGTGTGATGACGGAATATTCCAAGGCTGCCGGCAGGACGTGCCAGCTATATGTAGATGTTGGTGTCTACACATATAGACACAGATATTATTGGTTTTCACAGTTTCCTTCTCTCCAGATGTAAACAGAATTCTGCCCAGATGGCCTTGGTTTGTCTATTGTATGTCATAGTAAACATTGACATGTCCTTTTTGGAGAGAAAGTATGAGGATGGATCATGATTGACCCCGTGATCAGAAGTACTTGCAGTGTAGCAGAGGAGGCCGGGGCTATCTGTCCCTCCGCCCTTTGCCTGCCATCCTGTGCCTCTTGCGGAAGGCCGTGTTCATGGCCGTTCTCATGGGTAGAAGTTCTTTCCCATGCTTCTGCCTCAGCTTACCTTGGGAGCAGTGTTTGAAAGGCGCAGCCCCTAATCCAGCGCCTTGGGAGGCTGAGGTGTATGGATTGCCTGAGCCCGCAGGTTCGAGACCTGCCTGGGCAACTTGGCGAGACCTCATCTCCACAATAAATCAAAAAATTAGCCGGGCGTGGTAGTGCACGTCTGTAGTTCCAGCTACTTGGAAGGCTGAAGCAGAAGGATCGCCGGAGCCCAGCAGATCGAGGGTGCGGTGGCCGGGAGCAGCCACCGCACTCCGGTCTGGGCGGCAGAGTGAGACTCCAACTCAAAAAATAAATAAAAAATAAAAATAAAAAAAAGAAAGGTGCAGCCCCATTGAGAGGGGCAGGTGGAGGCTGTCTTGGCTCTGGGGACTGACGTCCCATGCAGGACATCAGAGCTGTGATGCACCGGAAGTTCGCCGCATCCGACTTCCATGCCCTGGGAAAAAACTCACCAGCGCCTTTTGCTGGCCATGCAGCTGCCTTGGGCAAGGGTGTCATCTTTTGAGGTGTCTGTTCCAGCCCCCGTGTATGGCCCCTGGGCCCTTCCCAGGCCCACCCAGTGACCTGGGACCTCAGAGCCAGCCTTGCCTCTCTCCCAGCTCCCCCAAGCTGTGCTGGGCACTATCTCAGAAGTATCCCCCACTTAGTACTTCTGTGTTCCTCTGAAGGAAACCCCAAGTGAACTTGAATTGGAAGCAACCCAAGGAGTGACCCCTCCTGGAGTAGGTAGTGTCCCCAGAGACCGGGAATCAGCTCCATTGCCCTGAGCTAATGCATGCCCCCCACCCCCCACCCCCGGCTGGAGACAAGATGAGGGGATTCTGCAAGCCTTTCTCACATGTCAGTCATGAAAGCAGCACTAACACCTGCCCTGTTCATGCCAGGCCCACACTGGATTCCGGGAACCCAGGGACACCCAGAGGATAGCCCCAACCCTGCCCTCCAGGAGCCGATGGTGCAGGGGGAGAGACAGATGTAGAAACATGTCCCAGGTGGACATCTCGGATAGATCATGATTGACCCCGTGATCAGAAGTACTTTCTGATCAGTAGAGTGGTGGCCTGGAGCCAGGCCGGGAGAGTCATGAGGGCTTCTCAAGGACAAGCAGGAATTCAGGAGGCAGATGGAATGAAGGAAGGGCTTTCCAGACCAAAGAGGGGCACTTGGGCTAACTTGAACTAGAACTAGGCGTGGGGCAGGGGAGGGAGGCAACAGCAGGAGGGCAGGCCAGGAGGTGTCCCAGAGCCTGGCCACTGGGAAGCCACCAGTGCCCAAGTCCTGGGGACAGTGAGGAGCTGTAGGCACCAGCAGGGAAGGGTCCTGTATAGCATGTGTCAGGGTGAGGAGACTAAGCAGGACAGGAGTGGGTTTTGTGGCAGGCGCTCACTCTGTTCAGTAATGGCATCTTAGAGCACTGTGTTGAGGATCACAGTGGTGGTCTTCAGCAGGGCTCTTCAGCAGGGTGTGGTGAATCTTGTTTGCACTTGATTGGTGATGTCTGCACTGGCAGCAGGAGGGCAGTGAATCTTGTTAACCCCTTAGAACCTGCAGCCTGCTCTCCCCTTGTTCAACCTCCTGCCTGCCCCAGGCCTCAACCCAGCCCTTCACTCTCACCACACGGACCATACTTTTTGGGGTTCCTTTGCTTGTGGAGGCCCCAACTCCTGGAAGGGTCCACCATGGGGCTTTTCTGACTATCCTCATCCTCTAGCCATTGGGGCTCCGAAGAGGGGCTAGAAGGAGTGTCCCAGGGGCACGTTTGTTGCCAGGACCTAGGATGGCCTTGTCCCCCAGCTGCTGCCCCTGGCCTCTCAACCTTCAATGCCAGGTCAGAGGCAAAGGTCATCTTGGAAGATGGGCTCAGGGTCTCTCCCTTCCACCCACAGGTTCCCTCATCCAGGTGCCCATGTCTGAGAAGGGCAAGATCACCAGGGGGCGCCTGGGCTCTCTGTCCCTAAAGAAAGAAGGTGAGCGGCAGTGCTTCCTGTTTTCTAAGCATCTGATCATCTGTACTCGAGGCTCTGGAGGGAAGCTTCACCTAACCAAGGTAAGGACCAGGCAGGGAGCTGTGGGGCTCCAGGGCTGGGGGACAATGGTCACACTGATGCTATCCTGACCACAGGGGCTTGCCCAGACAGTAGGCAAGGCAGTCAGAGACATGTGTATGAACACGCATGCACACATACACATACCATGATTTAATTGGCCAGTTACGATGGGAAAAACTTGACTGGTTTTCCACCAGACAAATCATGGGAAATGGGCAGGTATCAAGGCCCTCAGATTTCCCCACAGCTGGGCACAGAGGAGCCTCGGGGTCTGGACAGACCCCTAAAAGCATATGTGTGGAGAGGGGGGTCTGTGTGACATGTGTGTGTAAAGTGTATTTGTGTGTATTGTATATATGTGTGTACCTGTGTGTATATATGTGTGGCATGTGTTTGTGTGTATATGTATGTTGTGTGGACCTATGTGTGTGATGCATGTATGTGTGTGTGCATGTATATGTGTGTGGGTTTGTGTTTGTATATGTGTGTGGTATATGTTTATGTTTGTATGTGTGTTTTGTGTGTATGTTTGTGCATGGATATGTGTGCGTTTGTGTTTGTGTGGTGTGTGTGGTATCTGTGTGAGAGTGTGTGTGTGTGTGTATGTGTGTGTGTGTGTATGTAGCTCTGAGTCAGAGCATCACTCAGAGCCCTTTGTCTCCAACCCAGAGGAGCTCAGACACAGCCCCACTTCCAAGCGATCCCCTCAAGCTACCCCAGCCCAGGTGACCCTCAGAGGCTGCTGAGCTGCCCACACACGGGACCTGCCCAGGGTATTTCATACCCTGCGTAAGACCCCACATCCTCACTAATGGGCTCATCCCTAAACATAGAAGGGAGTAAGCATCTCAACCCCCTCCTGCTTCCTCATAGACCCCAGGGCCTTTGTTCATTCTGTTCATTCAGCTACAGACCTCCTTCATGTCCCCAAGGCCTGCTCAGATACCATCTCCCCTGTACAGTCCATGTCCTGGGGGTCTCCTGCCCCCCACCACTGCACATGGCTTGTCTCCCTGCTCTGAGCTCAGGATTCGGTCCCAGCTCCATCCCTTGCATGCATGAGACCTTGGAAAAGCCACTGCCCAGTCTACACCCCATCTGTCAAGGGGGAATGACAGTCTACAGTAAGGTCACCATGAGTGAGCAACAGATGTGGACTCGCTGTCAATTAGGAAGCCCGTGGCTCTGAAAGCTACAGACCCCAGTACCACGTCCATCCCTGTGGATGCCAGCACACACCGCAGCCTGGAAGGGCCAGAGGGTGCCCCTGATCAAGCGAGAGCACCGGGAAGCCCAGGATGCCTGGCCCACAACCTCTTGAAGAGCTGACAGACCACACGATGGCTTTGGAGAATCTGCTGCTTGTGTTGACATGGCCACAAATTAGCTGGCTAGCTGCATGAGGGGAAATTAATTCACAAACACTAAACTCTCCAATTGTAACCAAGTTGTGTATCAAGGAAAGCTTCCATTATGTATTAGCCCTGAATTTTCTACTGAGAAGATCTCTCTCCAGGCTGGGAGGTTGCTGGGGGGGCAGGTTAAGCCAGAGACACTGAGGTCCTGCAAGCACACGTTTTGATGTTGCTTTTTTATTTTGATCTGGTTTTTATTTTATTTTATTTTAAAAAGTCTCTTGGCACATGGGTAAAGAACATGGACACAGAGTTCTGCTACAATCCCAGCACTGCCACTCACCAGTAGGTGACCTCAGACAAGTCACGTGATCTCCCCAGGCCTCAGTGTCCTTAACTGCATCATGGGTATGAAAATACCCCCTTCACAGGAGTGCTTGTGGATCAAGTGAGCAAGTCCCAATACCTGGTATACATTAAGGGCTCAGTAGGTAGCAGTCATTGTCACTCTTTTTCTTTTCTTTTTTTTTTTGACACAGAGTCACTCTGTCGCCCAGGTTAGAGTGCAGTGGTACAGTCTCGGTTCACTGCAGCCTCCATCTCCTGAGTTCAAGTGATCCTCCCGTCTCAGCCTCCCAGGCAGTTAGGACTACATGCCTGGTGAATCTTTTTTATTTTTGGTAGAGGCATAATCCTGCTATTTGCCTAGGCTGATCTCAAACTCCAGGGCACAAGCAATCTTTCCACCTCAGCCTTCCAAAATGCTAGGATAATAGGCATGAGCCACCATATCCGGCCATCACTCTTAAGATATGATAATGAAATATAATAATAATATCAAGCCCTTACATAATGATTACTATGGGCCAGTCACTATCCCAAATACTTTATGTATATTTAATTCCTAGAACAGCCCACTAAGACAGATGCTATCACTTCTCCCATTTTATAGATAAGAGAAATAAAACAGAAGAAGGCAGCGTGGGGCAGAGCTGGGATTTGAACCCAGGCAGTCTGGCTCCAGAGTCTATATTCTTTTTTTATTTTTATTTTTTTTGAGTTGGAGTCTCACTCAGTCGCCCAGACTGGAGTGCA